ATACAGTAGTAGAACTGTCTTGACATTTGTATTGAAAATGCTGATTTTGGTTTTTGATTGAAAGTTGTTTCGGAGTACCAGATATTTTTTTCAACTGTAGAAATGCAAAATTATACTTGGAAATATTTTCCTAATTATTATAGATATTTTTAATTGTAAGTTGAAATAAGATCAACCACCTAATTATAATCATAAACAAAACGACTAAATTTTTTACATCAGTAGTAAATGATCAATTTTTCGATGATTGATCAAATGTCAATTTTACTTTTTGTTTTGTTTTTGTTTGAACTCATTATCATTCATGTAATCAAAAATAAATGAAATTCAACGTTATGCGAAAACAAAACACTGAATGATGACATTTGTACATTTTGATATTTCGTGAGGTGGGGTGGGGTGGGGCGTGGAAATAGCAAAAAAAAGCCTGATTGAAAATGGCTCCATAAAAGTTGGTAATATTTTGATAAAATAAAACAAATTGTTTCTCTTTAACACTTTGACAATGAATCTCTCTGTTTGTTTTTTCTTTCTTCTGAAATTGAAGCTAGTAATTAGTAACGTGATACAGATCAGATTGGATAGAGGAGAGGAATGAAAAATAAAAAAGATCAACAGTCATGATTAATAAGGTGTTCTTCACTTTTGAATATTTCCAGAAATGAAAAAATAATGTACATAGAAGTTAAAATGCAGTGCTTGTTTATGGAAGGAAATAATGTGAATATATATATATATATATATATATATATATATATATATATATATATATATATATATATAACTCTTTTTTCAGTCGACCAATCGATCAATAGAACTTGGTACGTACGTACGTTCAGTTCAGTTCAGTTCATGTTGCCATACCACATTAGCACAGAGATGTAATTGTCAGTTCGAAACCTATAGTAGTAGATGTAGTAGAGTTATTAGTAGTAGTCGGAGAGGTTAGAATTAGTAGATATTACTCAAGAAGTAAAAACTAGTGAAATAGACTTAAAAATATAAAGATAAAGTGATGAGGAATTAAAAAGTTTAGGATTTGAGAGAACTCAATGAGTGGATGCACCTGCGCCATTGCAAATGTTTTTTGCCATGTCATTCAGGGTCTCTAACCATCGATTATTATCATCTCGCGGACCCATACCAGGTAGTCAACATCTACCGACATGACTCAGTCCACTTGTCATTGACGTCATGGATTTCTACCATGTTTTGGTCTGGTTGCTTTTGGCTTTCTTCCAAGCTGTTCCTACATCGCACAGAATATCTGGACGAGGCAGTCGGTGGTTAGGCATACGTAACACATGTCCCAACCACTTCAACTGATGAAGTTTCACTACTTCATCTATTGATCTGCTATCCTTACCTAGCACCCGTTTCCTGACAACAGTATTGCTCACTCATTTGTCCAAGGATACACGAGCAATGCTTCGAAGACATTGTTGATCGAAAACCAGTAACCTATGAATTAACTATTTTTTTCACATACATAGCGATGAAAAATGGCGTTCACAGATTTAAATTAACAACATCTATTGGACAGTTTATGGCATTAGACGCGTGAAGTTAGAAAGTTGAACGAACGTTTGTAGTCTTAATCATCATAAAAAACTCGATCAACAATGACTGATAGTTTCTGGTATGACTACTGTGACATGGAAGGAAGTCAAAACCAAACAAAATATATATAAGTTTGGAAAAGACAGTGTAGAGAGTTTTTGGAGTACAAGTAGTTTTGATGACTGTCCTTTCTCATACTTTTCCATACTTTTCACTATACTCTGATCACGTGATGCATTTTTATCTTCGGACACTCCCCTCTTTAGTCGAAACATCTAAGCGACACTTCGATACATATTACTTATATACCACCTTGTGAGTAGTATTCATCACCCTACTACTTTACACACACACACACACACAGTTTCAAAAACATTATCGATAGGAAACAAATAACTATTTCAAGATCACAATGAAGATCAATTCTTCAGATTTCTCTTCTATGCATTTCAAATATGGCTCCACTTTAAAACGATGTTCAAACTACGTAAAGTTAAGGCGAGATAAAATTTAGGTTGCAGATTATTAAGAGGACAAGGTTGTTTTTTTACACGTTAACAACTTCTTAGCTGTGATAGTCCAAAAGGGGGGGAAATTTTGAAAAATAGTAGCATTTCGTAATCACTTTTAAATGATTTGAATTTTCGTTACGTAATTTTCAAGGTCGGCATCTGTAATGCATGATATAAACTATGCATCTGAGATCTTCAAGTTGTCACGATTGAAAGTGAGTAGACTGAAAGATTGTTTAGTCGTATGTGATTTTCGCTGATGATTATTTTCAAATTTAACCCGCTTTTTTTCAAATAACTAAAAGTTTTCAGTATTTTACTGTTTTATCAAACTACTGGAAAGTAGATTATGTCAACCTATACATATATCGTAAAATGTGCTCACTAGTGACCAGCTTCGTGAGGAAATTCTCAGAGTTCTAGTGAGAAGACATGACTAGTGAAGTTCAGCTCTGTTCGGTGTAGACAGTAACTATCAAAGACAATTGGGTAAGGTAGCGTGAAATCTGTAGATTGATCAAAGTTAGACATTAACATCGTTAGATACCGGCTCAGTGATCCAAAGGTTAGGCGTCCGCGTACAATACCGAAGCTCATGTGTTCGAATCCTGCGAGATGTAGGAGTCGTGGATGCGCACTGTCATTGATGAGTCGTCCCATACCAGGACGAAACGGCCGTCTTTCAGTGCTTCCAGGTTTCTAATAGTGGTCATCTAACAATGACTGACTGTTGATTCCACACGTGTAAAAACACTAATCTGTATAACTCTTATTGAAAATATCTATACATATATATAAGTATATATATATACAGAGAGAGGTTTATACATATGGTATTCTAATGATAAATGGCGAATATTCATTCATCCAACCAACCAACCAACCAACCAACCAACTAACCAACCTATTAAGTATAAAAATATTTTAACTGATATTCTAAATTGAACTTTTAAAGTGTTTCATATTCGAAAAAAAAGAAAAAACAGCACAGAACAAAACAAACTACTGGCCATAAATTTTATCAGTATGTTATTATCCAATGAATAGAAATTGAATAACATAACAAAATAAAGTCTATTATCTATCTATGTAGAAGATAGATTACAAGCAGTTTTATTCATTTTCAATGTATACATTATCCCCCTCCCTCCCTAAATCCCACACATTATCAACATCATCATCATCATGGAAGTTAGATTTATGTTGTTCAGTCAATAACCAATCATAATGTTACACGCTTGGTCAAAATGTATTTTCAGCATATTACTTACTTATTGTGCACATACTACACACATCGAATTGTATTGCTTCAGTGTGTGTGTGCTGCAGACAGATTATTATGTAGGTTAGATCAATGTGTGTGTGTGTGCTTGTGTGTAATGTGTAATAATGTGTTCGCGAAAAATATCATTGAAATAAGACAAAAAAGAAAAAATTGAAATCTAAGCGCAGAAAAACAAGTAATTTACTTTTCCCCTCTTGATACAGCGAATTATCCTGTTGTCTCCTTATCACACACACACACACACGCACACACAAGACATTGAACCTCGAAATATCGCACATAAACTAAACTACCTTTTCAAAAATGTCTGGACAATGCCTGAACATTTATTATTATTATGAGAAAAAATGTTTTTTATTTTGGGAAACATTATTCATATTTTTCCTCAGAGTGTAGAAATGCGTTAAGAAGAAAATTTATCATAAATGAAGTATAAATATTATTATCCTATCACATTTAATGAAAGCTCACACATAAAAATTGTATAACACATTTTTGTGCCAATAATGTGCCAACACACACACACACACACACACACACGCTTGCACACAGAGAACTGCAATGACAGTGCTGCAGACAAATCAACACTCACATACACACATACGCACATGCACGTAACAATACATTCTTCGGTTGTATATACACTAGGAAATAAACTCGCTTGGGCCCAGAAATGTATGCCATCATGACTCTTAAGTAGTATATATATATATATATATTTTTCACAAAGAAAATAACTCATTCTCGTTATCCATTCCTTCTCCTTCTCCCACTCTCTCTCACACACACACACACACTAAGAACCATTATTTCGAAAATTCAAACAAAAAATGGTTGTACACAACTAAATGTGTAAGACACACGCAATTCATGAATTGTTCATTTACGCGCCTCCCCTCTCCTCCAACACCAACATCAACACCGGATAGGGATGGACACAGGCTACAACACATAACCCTCAGCATTTATACATATATTATATCAAACCAGGAATCGAAGTCTTGCATTTTCTCAGTTTTTGGCTAGAAACAAACATTAGAGTGTCTCACACAAAACAGAGTAGCAAATTAATGGAGCAAACAATAACTGAATGGTAGCCAACTGCATTTTACACAATTTTACAGTAGACAAATATTAGTCTACACTTATAGATATTTATGTATATATATATATACATATACACTTATATACCTAGAAAGAGAATATGTGTAGAGGTTTTTTGTTTTTGAAAAATGTGTACAAGTAGTTTTGTGCACTGAAAACGTTTAGCCTTTATTTATTATTTATTTTCAAAACAAAAATGTATGTGATCTGATAAATTATGTCTAACGTATTTGAAATCGACACTCATTAACTAGTAGTATGCTTATTATCAGTAATTACTACTACTACAACTACTACTGTTACAAACATTACTAGAATATACAATCAGTCAACTATCTAACTACTTATATCAATATATATAGGTATATAAATACATTTATATATATATATATATATATATATATATATATATATATATATATATATATACAAGTTTGACAAATTACCAATATGTCTGCGTTCAATATTCAATATTCAATGATAAATGATTGTTTGTTTTGGGAATAAAATTTCTCAATCCACTTGTTCAAATATATACATATATACATATATATAAACAAACTTTAACAGAATTGCATGTTTTTTGTTTTGTTTCGTTTTTTTTTCAAAAAATCGAAACCATTCAATGTTCAATTTGATTTTTATGCATCCAAATTAATTCAACTTACAATATACATATATACATATACATAAATATTATGCATTTTATTACAAAATTTAACAATTTGTCAATTATTCTAGATCAACTATTCCATTTGTATAAACAAAAATCGAAATTCTTTGGAATTATATTATTATTGTTACAAGTTCAGTTGATTGTCAATTTCATGAATCCAGTACAAGGAATCAGATGGTTGTAAGTGCAAATAGTGTGGTTTTTAAACAAAAAATTATTTACTTTTGTTCAGTGTGAAATTACTTTGTCTATTTTGCATAATTTCTATGATCATTATCACATCAGGATCATTAATCAATCATTATTAGACCACACCATTGGAAATCTGGAAGCATTTGAAAGAAGGGCTGTTTCGTCCTGGGTTGCTAGGAAAGGGTGGTCGGTCAATAGATGAAGTAATGAAAATTCATCTGTTGTAGTGGTTGGGTCATGTGTTATGAATGCGCGACCACCAACCAGCTGCCTCCTCGAGCTATGTTTTGCGATGTAGGAATAGCTTGGACGAAAGCTAGGGGCGGTCAAATCAAAACATGGCATAAATGCATGAAGTCACTGACAAGTGGTAGGAGTCATGTTGGTGGGTGTCGACTACCTGGTTAGGGCCCCACGAGATGTTAGTAATCGATGGTTAGAGACCCTGAATGACGTGGCTCAAAACCGTTTGCATCTAATCAGTAGCAGTGCGCATCCGCGACTCTTGCTACTCACAGGATTAGAACCGGGGACCTTCGGTATTGCACGCGAACGCCTAACCTGTTCACTATTTATTGTAACTACAACTATGATATAATATGTGTTTGTGCTGATGTTGGTTGTTTGGTACTGATATGTTAAAAATCGATAATCAGGTATATATTTTTTTAGCCAGCTGGTTCAGAGTATTCATATGAAATGAATAGACTGTTCATGTGAAATTCATTTAAGATGGTGAAGTTTCGTCCTCTTAGCTGGATGTGTTGGTTGTGAAGCTTTCACTATTCCTTCACTGACACAACAACATGATCAGTACAAACTTCAGGCATTTGAATACTTCACTTCTACTATTTATCTTCAGCAGTGTCCGAAGAACAATGAAATTGCTTTGCAAAATTCATTTCATCTGAATTGTTTTAGTTTTTGAAAATAAAAAACTCAATGATATTTAGTTCAGTTCCAAAGAAAAAACAACAAACTATAAGTCAAGATATTTTTTTCTTCGGAACTGAATTTATAAATACAATACAATTTTTTTATTTAATCTGTGAAAAAAATCATTTTTCGGAAATCGATATTTATTGATCGGAAGTGATTTATTGTGTCGATTGCAATCCATTGAATATTTTAACCAGTCATTGTGAATTTATCGAACTAAAAACCTAATGTAAACAGATTTAACGAGTCCTAGATTTGATGAATGAAATAGTTTTCAGGTATTTTTTCTATGAATCTGTTATGGTTCATTGAAGAAACTTCTTTCAATCAGGTAGACAGCTTAAAATACAAGTCTTTTAGGGATATGTGAATTGAAAATTGTCGATTCTCAATAATATGTATGAAAAGATGTTTACTTACTTACTTTACTTTCGCCTGTTACCCCCAATGGAGCATAGTCTGCCGACCAGTCTTCTCCAACCAACTTTGTCCTGGGCTTCCCTTTCTAATTCTTTCAAGTTTTTGTTCATTTTTCCCATGTCTTTCTCTATTTCTCGGCGTAATGTGTTCCTTGGCCTTCCTCTTTTCCTTTGACCTTGAGGGTCCCACATGAGGGCTTGTCTTGTGACGCAGTTGGGTGCTTTTCGCAGTGTGTGTCCTATCCACCAACTCCACCACTTCTTCCTGATTCCCTCCTCCACTGCAATCTCGTTTGTTCTCTCCCCCCATTAGGTTATTGCTGATCGTGTCTGACTAACGAATCCGAAGTATTTTGTGTAGACAACTAATGAAAAGATATTTCAATCTGCTAATACACTCTTGAGTACTTTTTAACATTATTCTAGTCAAAATATCTTTAAATTGCATAGAAACATAATTTTTTTCAGTAAATGAACCGGAAAAATACATTTCCTAAGCGATTCTATTCACAAGTTACTTCTATTCCAAATGTTTTTAAAATCCCTGAATAATATGATTTTGGTCTTCAATAAATTCTAACAACATATTTTAATCGGTTACTAATATTGTTGAGAAATATTGTTTCACAAAATTTTGCACTTGGTTTTATGAATTAAATTAATGATCAGCAGATATTTCAAAATTCATCTTATGAAAAACAATATTTTATGTATGAAACTAAAAACACCATAAAAATTGTACCAAACTTATCCAGGCAAAGCTAATTATTTCAATTGGTCAGTTAGTTAGTCAGTCAACCAAACGGTGATTATGTTATGCTGATTGTGTTCTGAGCGAGTTCAATATCTAGAAATCACTAGGCCCAATGAGGAGTCCATCGGAAAATTGTAACCATATAACCACATCACAGTGAACACATTAACTCCATCACAACTGAAATGTTAACTGTGAAAGATAGATACCTTGATTTCGTTATTTCGTGTAAGCAATGCTGTCGTTGGGAAGCGGCTACTAGGTAAGGATGGCAGATCAATAGATGAAGTATTGAAACTTCATCGATTGAGGTGGTTGGGACATGTGTTACGAATGCCTAACCACCAACTGCCTCAACGAGCTATGTTTTGTGGTGTAGGAGTAGGTTGGAAGAAAGCTAGGAGTGGCTAGACCAAAACGTGGCAGAAATCCATGAAGTCTTTGACAAGTGGACTGAGTGATGTTGGTAGATGTAGACTACCTGGTTGGGGTCCGCGAGACGAAAGTCACCAATGGTTAGAAACCTTGAACGATATGGCTCAAAATCGTTTGCAATGGCTCAAGTGCATCCATTCCTGTCGCTCTCTCAAATCCCAATCTCACTGGATTCGTCAGCACCTCTACGGTTGCCTTTCTAAAGTTATCTTACTGAATAATATCTTCAAACCCTAGTCTTCTTCATTACCATTAATACCTCTACTATCTTTATCACTATGAGATTTGATTTGACATTTGCGTTTCTGTGCTAATAATGTGGTATGGCAACATGAACTTATGTACATACGTACGAAGTTCTACGTTGTAACTGACTGACTGACTGACCGAATGACGTTATTTCGTGAAGTTTCAATTAGCTAAACTTGAAATAGTGTAAATTACAAAGACAATTTGTTTTTCCTCAATGTATGAGTCAGCTGTCTTTGTTTACTCATCAGCATCATCATCATCACCTAAACAGCTGTTATACAATCAATCACAACATTAATTATTTTCCTATAATATTCAGTAGTCAGTAAAGAAAAAATGTTACAATTTGAAATATGTTATCTAACTTGAACAGATTGTTGTGATTGTTGTGATATATATTGTCCTTTTTCGAAGATTACATATACTTGTGTTTTATCAAGCTAGGCATTTCAATTAGAAGTCTAACTAAACAAGAAACTGTCAAACTCAAGTGCAAGTGAATTGAACACTATATGAACAAAGCACATTTTTGTCAATATTGATCGTTGAAACTATTACCCAAAACGTATGCATATAAATTCAAATATATAATCTACTCGCAATATTTAAACTTATGAAATGCATTTGTTACACATAAGGCTGTGTAATCTGTATTAGTGGTATAGATTATTTTCTCAGTAATGGAAATTTTAAGTAACTATACAAGTATATATATATATATATATATATATATATATATCTATGAAATTAAGTTAATCATTCTAAGCTGCGTGATTTTACTGAAAGTAGTGTTTTAAAGTCATTAGGTGCTTAGCACTGGTTGGCTAGAAATTATAGATTTCGGTTTCATGCTACATGTGACTAGTCAGCGTAGCATACCATTAAACTTGAGGGGTTTCGGTGTTTTTTATCTAAGTGGTTTAAACATACATGACTTAGTTCTACTGTTTCACAACTAACTAATGAGCGTGGGTTCGAATCCCAACCTCGTCGCTAACTGATATGCTTGAATGTTATTACGAGTTTACCATTACTCGGTAAACGGAACGAAGAGCAATAGCTCAGTGATATGATAGGTTATTCTAATCCGTTTGTCCCAGGCCCTACTTACTGGATCAAGAAGTCTTGATAAAGCGTAGAGAATGTATTCTACAAGCACCCAGAAAATATGAGGTTTCTAAGAACATAAATCAAGCTTATTTATACAATGATAGAAACGCCCGTGAGAGAGCCACAAAATGGTGTACTAAAAAATCCATCGACCAATGACAGTTAAGGATTTTCCGAGTGGGAAATGTAAGCTGTAGGTCAACTGAGCGTCTCTTGGCGCGAAAACATAGAAATTCAAAGTTTCGAAAATAAATTAGGACCTTTTCCAAGTGAGTTTTAGGGATCTAACATCCCCAACAGCTATTTAGCACTAATATGTTCACTTGTAGAACTGAGATATTTACCATAGTTGGTCGCCGTTTTGTGTACAGGAGTTCAATGATCAACAAATGCAATTCAGTTTTGTTTGAATTAACTTTCAAAAAAAAATGTCACATAATTTCTGCCAAATATCATACTAATTATTCTTTTCAGACCTAAAATCGACTTTATAAAAATTAAACTTTGTTTATGCTTAAAATTTGAAATACAAATTGGTGTTTTTTTACTGATCAGATTGTTTTTTTACTGTTCCGTTTGTAAAACTATTGAACAAGTCTAAATTATGTGACAAATGATATAGTTTTCATTTCCTTATCGATGTGACATCATATACTTGACATGTTTACATTTTCATTGTTAAGTAATATCCAATAAAATCTATCTTATCACATACGTTGCACTTGTCGATCTAATTCAAAACTATGATGATACGGTCTTGAGTGTGTATTCCTGGAAAATCCCATACTTGACTGAGACAGCTGTCAGCTCCTTCCTGGCATTTATTGGATGTTTAACTAAACTTACTCCGTGATGATAACTATGAAATTCATTAATATATCTATCCACTGGCAGACAAAAGTTGAATCAAATGCAGCGTAATATTATTTATTAAGAAAATAATTGCACACCATACAAACTACCAGTATCAGTAGAGTTTTCAATAGAAAAAGGAAATCTTTCTACCTTAAAAAAATGCAGTACACATTATCTGCATATCAAATCAACTATTTCTTACCAATTGATATTAGTTCAGGCTT